GGGGGTAGAGGTACGGGTTAGGGTTAGGATAGGGTAGAGGTACGGGTTAGGGTTAGGATAGGAGCTGTGGGGGGTAGAGGTACGGGTTAGGGTTAGGATAGGAGCTGTGGGGGGTAGAGGTACGGGTTAGGGTTAGGATAGGAGCAGAGGAAACCGCAATGAATTAAATCAGAATCAGAAATACTTTAATAATCCCAGAGGGAAATGATTTATGAAGGATATTCTTAAGGAGACAGACACTAGAACAGAGCGTTTTGGACAGAAAGAGGCAGTGAAAGCTGCTTAAACACAAAATTACAAACACAATATCTGTTTTAAAGCCTCTAAACCTATTCTAGAAAACCTTCAAAATAACTGTATTAGCTAGTTATCTACGGTTGTATTGGGGCGTTAATTATCAAGCAATTGGCATCAAATTTTCAAGGGTTGAATTGGAGTATAATAAAACAAAATGGCAAAATGACTACAAATAACTTATTTTAAAAAGTGGGGGAAGTGCTGTTTCCACTGCTTTGTAGTTTATTTCTGCCTAAGGGAGTCACACACTGACACATTCTGCTCTAAATTGTAATTTTTTGCTGATTAAATTTAGGCCTGTCCAGTGCTCCCGATCATAAACTGTAAACTAACTCCATTAATAGACAGTGCAGTATTTCCACAGTGTGAGGATGTTTGTTAGTTCCATTTTTGTGCTGTTCTTATTGTGTACCTGTTAGTGAAAAACACCTCAGGTTGTGCGTTGATGTGTAGAAATGTAATTTCTAATATAATTTGCGAGGTTTGTTTATATTTGAATGTGCAAAAGAAAAAAGTCAGATAAAGTCTAGATGTGTTTCAGTTATTGGTGTGAAACTGTGGAATGAATTAAATGATGAATTTAAGTTATGTCCTTTCTTGGTGAACTTTAAAAGAGCTTTAAAATGTAATATGATAAAATCTTACGTTCTTAAGTAGATCTATATTTGTACTATGTACTATGTAATCTGAATTTGTAGAAATCATGGTTGTAAGGTAAAAAAATAAGGTAGGCAAGAATAAGCTTTGCTTCGTCCTATTCCTTTTTTGGTAAACTGTGGGTTTGTCTATTGTTATTTTCTTTTTTCTTTTGTTGTTTCTTGTGTTTAATGTGGACAATTTACCAAATTTACCAAAATAAAGTGAAGTGAAGTGAAGTGAAGTAGAAATGTAAATGTAGCCGATGGACTGAATCGGGTTTTCCACTAATGTGGCTTAAATATCTAGAACATTCTGCCGCCTCATTGCTATTATAGCCACATGCAGCTTCAGAAAACTGCTGCTTATTTCATATCATATTAATAATATTTCATATTATTTCATATCGCCTTTAGCGATCTGTGTTGGTTCTCCATCTATGTGTGTTCTCCGTTTGTGTGTGTTTGTGCGCGTGAGTGTAACGGACCCTCCAAAGATCAGAAGTACACCAGAGGTTCAGCCACTCGATTTTATTGTTTGCCTGCATGCAAGGTCCCACTTTTTACACATTTAAAAAGCACCTTAAACTGTTTGTAGTCATTTTGCCATTTTGTTTTATTATATTCCAATTCAACCCTTGAAAATTTGATGCCCAAGTCCATTGATAATTGCTTGATAATTAACCCCCCAATACAACCGTAGCTAACTAGCTAATACAGTTATTTTGAGGGTTTTCTAGAATAAGTTTAGAAGCTTTAAAACAGATCTTTCTCAGATTTTGTATTTATGCAGCTTTCACTGCCTCTTTCTGTCCAAAACGCTCTGTTCTAGTGTCTGTCTCCTTAAGAATATCCTTCATAAATTATTTCCCTCTGGGATTATTAAAGTATTTTTGATTCTGATTCTGATTCATTACGGTGTCCAGGTATAGGCAGGTATTTTGTATTTTTGTATTTTGTATTTTTCTAATGTTTTTCAAACCACACATGCTGGTTATCAAAGTTTTGCTTTAGGTGAGCAAGTAAGTGAAACAACAACACTGATGATAAGTAATAGTTCATTTATTGCTATACTACTTCTCTGGAGACTTTTGAATTATTAAGATACTACATGCCACAAGTCACAAAATACTACTAGTTTAGTATCAAGTTATTAATGTTACATTTGGAGGAAAAGATGGCGGAGACTGAAACTTGAGACTTCCATCTCAGAAAGTTAAAGCATGACCAAAAAATCCAACATGGATGCTCTGTTTTGAGTCTCATTAAATAAGTCGCACACATTATGCTCTAACCCCGGATCCGTTTGTGTGGTGTTCAGAAATAAGGACTTAAATAAAGACTAAATTAGGTTACACTCAAACGTGTTGTTAGTCAAATTCTCCAAGTTGGAAACTCTGAGGCTCATGTAAGGGAACATAACACCTTGGTTTTGAATAAAGTATATTTTATTGAAAAAATCCAAACAGAGATAATACAAAAGTTAAATGAGCCCTCTGTAAAACTAGACATTTCACAGTTATCTGAAAATCGTTGACAATCCCTGTTGCCCCTTTCTGGTTAAATACTTTGATTATAACAAAGGCAAACCTCATAGAACATTTGCAACCTTCATAATACAGGTAAACCTGCCACATGACTATTTTATAATAGCAGGGAAACGCTTTGCTGTGCTTATAAGAGGTGTGGATGGATATGACACAAAG